ACAAACGCAACAACACTTAAACTATTCGAAGATTATATGTGGGCGATAAGAAGAACCCAGAGCCGCCAGTTCGGAAGACATTTTAGAGTGGTGGAGGACGCATGAGACGGAATATCCGACTTTATCGAAGATGGCCAGTAATTTTCTTTCAATACCTGGAACTTCAGTACCTGCTGAGAGATTAATTTCTAAAGCATGATTAGTATTAGAAAACATAGAAATAGGTTAGGTGATGAGTCAGCCAGATGGTATTAATTCTTGGTCAAAAGAATTAATATAAAGTAACTGTAATGTCAAAGCTGTTGTGTAATTGTAATTGTACTGTTATGTAATTTAATTTGTATTGTATTTTATTTTTTATTTAAATAAATGGTAAATTGTATAACTCTTTTATTCCATTTCATATAAGGGTCTATCAATCTCTTTCTAGACAGATAATGTTCTTTATAATACAGTCAAGTTAATGTCATTAATTTGCTTTTTATACACATGTAAGCTTATTAAATGTAAACGTTTATTAAGAAACAGACTAACTCCCGTGGCCGTGAGACTTGGTAGACAGCTCAGTTGGTTAGAGCATCGGCACGGATCGCTTAGGTCGTGGGTTCAAACCCCACCCGGTATTAGTTGATTTTTCGAATATCTAAATAAATGTTTAGACATTTATTAATTTGGTTGGTCTTTCTATGGCTATGTTAATTCAAGCTCAAAATGTGCCTACTCTGTTAAGTTGTTCTAAGATCTAAAGTAACGTTTAATAAATAACAATAGGCTAATAGGTAATTGCGAGACTTGCGAGACTCTTGCTGCAAGACCAAGACCAAGAACAAGACTGAGAGCGCAATACCAAGACCAAGAACAAGACCAGGTGTATTGGCGCAAGACCAAGACCAAGACTGGCTAAGTCTCGTCTTGTTCTTGCATTTGGGCAACACTATCTGTAACACCTATGATAAATACATGTTTGTTAAAGGAGCCATGTCCAGTGATAGCACTTGTTACTATCCTGATCTGTGGCTTGTTCAGTCTCATTAGAACCTCGCTTAAACGACTTCATTTCAGACAGGGCCTCCCTAACTTGTCTACAGTCTACTAGGTTTCACAGATCTTAGATTGTACCAGTGAACGAACGTTACCAGAGGGTATTGGTTTTATTGGTTGCGGCCATACAGTGGCCAGAGCCGATCCTCTTCTGACCAGTTCGTCTGCTGCATTGTTGACATCTACTGTGTCTGTACTTTATCTATTGCAGAGTCACATTTTGTGTTTACATACCTCATTTAATCGTTGATGGCATTCATTTATTAGTCCCGAGTTTCACCACGTAGCAACTCAGAGCTTGTACTACCGCCATACTGTCGGTCAGTATGCTTTGCTGATGGAGAATTCTATTAACTTCCTAGCATCTATGTCCGATTGGATGATACCCATACATTCCGCCTGAACTACTGTGTTATGGGTACGCAGCGGTGTACATATGTGGATATTGGGGGCTTCAGAGAAAGGTCCAGATCCTACACCTTCACTTGTTTTAAAACCATCCGTGAAAACTCTAAGCTATTTTGGACATAATCCCTCCGGCTGGCCGGTTTCATTTAATAGTATCTTATACTTCTTATCGAATACAAATTGTTTTGGATCTTATCGTACTTGGCTTGTAAGATAGGAATTTTCGGGACTCTACTCTTACTCAAAAGATTTAAAGTCTTGAGTCTATTGGCAGCTAACGTAGCTTCTTGTTGTATGTGTAGATGAAGCGGGGTTAGCTCCAGCATAGCCTCTAAAGCTGCTGTTGCTTGTTTTTACTTTTTTATAAGCCAATGCTTGATCACAACCCCACCTGGTGGTAGGTGGTGATGCAGCGTTAGAAGGTAAATCGCACTGTCTTAGGGTAATAAAGGCCTATTCACTGTTGCCTTGAAGACGCCCAGATTGTATTCGGACGGTAAGATAGACGCCGGCAAATTATTCCACTCATTTGCTGTAAGCATTAAAGTGTTGGTGTACTTAGTTCTTATGCAGGTTGTGGCAGCCATGCATGCCAGTTTCTGGTTCTTTATAGTGGTGGCTTCAATTGTTTTGTTCCACCATGCCAGAGCGCCGTATGTGATGATGGGCCGAATTACAGTTTTGTACAGAGTATAATTTCTGGCATCAGACCCCATCGTTTGCCAATCATGTTTCAGCATTACCAGAAAGTTATACTAACTTTGTTGATTTTGTTTTCTATGTGTTTATTCCAATTGAGTTAACTGTCCTAGGTAAGACCTAAGTATTTTACCTCAGAAGATAGCTGGAGTTTTGTGCTGAGAAGACTTGGGGGATGATAGTTATTCAGCATTCGTTTTTGTTTGAACATTACTAGGACCATTTTATTTGGATTAAGGGTTAATTCATATTCCCTGCACCATCTCTCCATTATACGGAGAGCCGCTTGGGTCAGGTCGCACACCAGGCTTGCTGTCTTTCCAGAGGCCATTATTGTCAGGTCATCTACATAATGTACTGTGTAGAAATGATTGGCATTTAATTTGGTGATAAGTTCACTAATGACCATATTCCACGGGAGAGGTGAAAGGACCCCACACTGCGGGCAGCCTTTCATGATCTGAATTCTTTGAAATTCACCAGCAATTTTTATTGTTCGTGTACTGAGCATGTTTAGTATCCATTCAATCAGTGCTGGTTCAACTTTATGTATACTTAGTGCACCTTTTATGCTAGAGAAGTTCGTTCTGTCAAAAGCATCTACATATGTCTATGAAGGAACCTAGACATATTACTTTGTTTTAGATGGCCTCTTCAATCTTTTTATTACAAGTACAAATTGAAGTGCCGATTCTGTCGATTTACCTACGCTGTAGGCGTGTTGTTTGTCGTGTAGCGGTATGTTAATTAGCATCGACCCCCCTAATTCCCTTTCAAACATCCTCTCCATAATTTTTAGAAGAAAAGATGTGAGACTAATTGGTCTGTAGGATTTAGGGTCTACAAGTCTGGCTATTAGGGCTTAAACCCCCCCCCCCCCACTGTAGGAGTGCCGGGAATATGCCGTCAGGTCCTGCCGCCTTATAGGGTAGGAAACTATGAATGGCCCAATGGATTTTATCCATCGTTACCCCTCTGTGCTAAATTCCAGTCTTCTTCTGTTGGTGTCAGTGTATCTTCATGCCGGTTTACCCTCTCAATTACGCATCAACCTGGGAAGTGGGTTTCAATTAGGATGTGTTGGGTTTCATCCGGCGATGTCGAATAGCTTCCGTCGGTTTTTTTTTAGAGAGATGGATTCCGGCGTGTTCTGTTTAGCTAGGATTTTCCTTATCCGATTCGCTTGTTCACAAGCGTCGATACATGATACATTTTTTGTATTCATACTTAGCTTTCGTGTAAAGTTGCCAGTCTTCATCCATTGAGGTATTCATGACCCTATTTAGGGCTTTTCTTACCTTCTTACGGTTCATATCTAGTTCTTTACACCACCATGGTTGCTTTACCTCAGCATGCATTGTTGGAGTGATTTCTGGTCATGATTCATGGTAGCTAACATCCTTTCTTTAGTAACAGCTGCTACCTGTACTTCTAGGAGCGACTGATCTGCTGTGGTATTTGTCCCCTCGAAACCCGCGAGTTACGACGAGTGAAGACGTCAGCCTATTAAGGTATTTTGTTTTATCAGTCTTGCGGGGATTTCTCCATGGTGGTGTAGCGGGGATATCGATACGGTGTACGCAGCAGAATCATCTGTGGTCTGAGCATGAGGCCTGTTTCGACACATGCCGTCCCGTTATTAGTTTAGCTGCTCCCTCATGTATGTGTGTTTGTCATCGGTGTTACAGATAGTCCCCTGTGCAGGGCATGTATGGGGGCGGAAGAAACGGCAGCTCACGTGTTGCTGACATGTCCATCTCGGCACGTCGGGATCACTCCCCGAAGTTGCTTGCAACATTAGAGGACTGTTGACTATTTTTTGTGTGTTCTCTTATAAAACTTTTTTGTAGGTGAACCGATTTTGGAGATTCTTTCCTTATTTAAAAGCTGGTGCTCCTCATGTTCTCCCGTATAAGTTTGATCATGATCTGATTACTAGTTTTTGGGCTATCCATAATAATGTTTAATTTGATGAAGTTGTTTAATTTCACGAATGTTGAAGCTGGTTGTATAAAATTTTTGATTTTATTACTTATTACAGATTAAGTATTATATTGAAAATCACTGTCAAACTACTTTCAATGGTTATATATCAGCAGCTGTGTACCTCCGCTCAGGAATATCCCAGGGATCGTTAGTTGGTCTATTGCTGTTTGCGATTTTCATTAATGATATAGATTTCTGTTTTATGCACTTCAAAATAATTTTTATGCCTATGACAATTTTATGCCTAATTTCAAAAATTTCTGATTGCCTTGATTTTTAGCAGGATCCCAATGGATTTGAATAATATTGTTTAGGAAACAAATTTGAATATAACTGATAGAATCAGGCGTTATTTTGCGGAAATCCATTATAATAAAGATATTGATTAATTTGCAACCTTCCGCTAACTAAATACAATGATGTGTCTTACCTGGATTGAAGAGCACCTCACACCATCCCTCAATTGCGTGCACTAATTCCGTCACCACTAGTCCCAGCACCACTACTCCCAGCACCACTACTTCCAACACCACTATTACTATTAGAGTCTACATCACCTGAGGATGCCTCGTGTAGAGGCAAAACACGTGTCGTATTATCGTCGATGGTGTGTCTTTTCTAGAATAATGGTGTTGGAAATAGTGGTGCCGGGAGTAGTGGTGTTGGAGTAGTGGTGACGGAATTAGTGCACGCAATTGAGGGAGGGCCGAAGGTGCTCTTCAATCCCGGTAAGACACATCATTGTATTTAGTTAGCGGAAGGTTGCAAATTAATCAATATCTTTATTAAATTTGAATATGTTCAAGTGTTTTGTCCTTATTTTTCATAGAGATGTGTAATGAAAATTCTAGTATCGGAATAAATATTTATTTTGTAAGCGAGTATATACAAGGCGCAGCAGGATGCGCTACGTGATGAGTGCCGGCGTGAGCGCTGGTGAGTGTCGGGGGTCGGGTGCATAGCGCTACGTGGCCGGTGTGGGGTCGGGGGAGGGAGAGGGGGAGGCAGAGGGCAGGGGGGTGCAAGGCGGGCAGCGGGGGCGGCGTGCGGCGCGCGTCGGCCAGGTAGGGGTGGAGCAGCGCGGCACGCGCCGCCACGCGCTCGGCCGGCTCGTAGCGCAGCATGGCCTCGAAGAGCGCGGCAGCGTGCGGCTGCGCGCGCAGCGGCTCGGGCAGCAGCAGGCGCGCGGCACGCGGCGGCCAGCGCGGGAAGTCCGCGCGGAAGTCGGGCGGCAGGCGGCGCGCGCCCGCCCACAGCGCGCCGCCCGGCGTGCCCAGCGCGCGGAACACACGAAACAGCTGGTCGATCTCGCTGTCGCCCGGGAACAGCGTGCGCCCGCTCGCCTGCCACCAACACCCACCCCACCGCATTTTATCAATTGCATGGAGAACAACAACGGATGATGCACGTTCCTACAGTAGCCGAACACTTCTATGTATACTATTTGATGGACTCTCCAAGCTTAATACATTACGGACAAGTTACAATCAATTCTCCGTCACTCCTTTAGTCGACTGCAAGCAGCCACAGCCGTCACAGCTATGTCATAACATTTGACATTTTGCATAGTAGGTGAGGAAAACCGGGAATACTTTTTGATATCTAGTAATGAGATTTCATTCAGTCCTGAAGTGATACGTATTTCGTATGATTTTTTTCATTTTAAATTCATATTGTTAATTAAGGATACACAGGAAGTGTTTATAATGAAAAGACAATGAAAAATACCACTAGCAACCTTCTTAGCTACATGGCTGAAGTTGTGCCCGCAGTGGATAGGGGGGTACAAGTCGACGCCGCTTACTTCGACTTTAGAAAGCGTTACACTTAGTGGATAACGTCCTGCTAAAAAAGTTAGCGACCGTTCGGTGTACTCCACAGTTTTTTAATTTATTCGCCAGCTGTATGACAGGTAGAAAGCAGTATGTGGAATATGCCGGTCACACGTCGGACCCAAATATTACAAAATTTGGAGTAAGCCAGGGCAGTAGTTTAGGACCTTCAGTTTTTATTACTAGTAAACGATGTGCCTGAAGTAGTTAAGGAATCTAAGTACCTTCTTTTTGCTGAAGACCTCAAGTTGTATCAAATTGTACAAACATTGGCAGACTGTGAAAAACTACAACCGGACGTAAACAGACTAGTGGCATGGACCAAAAATAGCCGTTTACAGTTGAACACCTCCAAGTGTGTTACCATTTCATTTACTATAAAGCACACCCCCATTCAATATAACTATGAAGTGGATGGTTCGCCAATGGTAAGAGTTAAAGATCTAGGCCTTCGGATAAATAGTGAATTATCATTTAGGGAACACATTCTCTATTGCTGTAAGAAAGCGTATAGAAACTTGGACTTCATTCTTCGCACAGTTCACGGTTTTACGGTTGACATCAATTTAATCATTACTCTATAATAGACTGGTAAGAAGTAATATTATGGAGTTTAACGCCGTGATTTAGTCGCCACATGAAAATAGGTATAGTACAAAGCTAGAACGTGTGCAAAATAAATTTATTAGATACCTGTATATGCGCTACTATGGGGTCTACCCTATGTACCCAACTTTATTTATTCTGGGTGTGGTTGGCTACAACGAGTTGAGGGTAAAACGAGCCCTCGCATTAGCCTTTTATTAAGTGCTGAGGGGAAAAATATATAATATTGGGGAGGATTGGGCTGTGTGTTCCAGACGGGTACGTATGGAAACGGCGGCGGCCGCGGCTGCTCTCCGTGCCGCGCGCCCGAACCAATTTACTGGATAAAGCACCTTTAACGCGAACGTTACGCTTTCTTAATAGAATAGCTTAAGACATTGATCTATTCTGTTGCTCCCTGAGTGAATTTACTAGGGTGGGATTATTTACAATTTGTTACAGTTAATTTCCACATTTTTGTTATGCATAAAAATAACTACAATGTCGCATTAGTATTATTAATAAAACTGCTTAATCGAACACAGTGAGTAATTTCAACCTTGGTGGAATCAAGTAGCCACTTTTAAATTGTAGATGGTACAACAATAATGAACTGTATCAATTGGTAGATAGATACAAGGTTTCTCAAAGCTACCAGTGCACTGCTTTAAACCTGAAAGCTATAATTTGCGTTATATTTTAATCAAAAATTAATTTGAAAGAGGACTTTTTCAAATTTTTTCATCTTTACCAGTGTCATAAAAATACGCAGCTCAGGCTGGTGGTTTTATCACAAAATGTGTTATCAAAAAACCGGCCAAGAGCGTGTCGGGCCACGCTCAGTGTAGGGTTCCGTAGTTTCCCGTCCGTCACAATAAATGTTCCCACTTATGAGTTTAAAGGTGGGTATCCATTATGTTCGCGCTCCGCGTTCCTGCAACTGCTCCCGGTAGTGGGTACTGTTGTTTCCATCCAAGTTCAAAATGATTTTCCTAGAAAGTACTTATAAAGTTCTACTTTTCAGATTTTTTTCATATTTTCTAAACTTATGGTTCAAAAGTTAGACGAGGGGGACACATTGTTTTTTACTTTTGGAGCGATTATTTCCGAAATTAATGACACTATCAAAAAATGATTTTAGTAAACCCCTACTCATTTTTAAATACCTTTCCAACATCATCACACGTTAGGGTTGAAATTAAAAAAAAAATCACTTCCCACTTTACATATAGGGGGGCTACCATAATAAAACATTTTTTTCCAATTTTTATTTTACCACTTTGTCGGCGTGATTGATACACATATTGGTACCAAATTTCAGCTTTCTAGTGCTAAAGGTCACAGAGATTAAGCGAGGACGGACAGACGGACAGACATACATAAACACTCACGCCTGTCACCCAGAGGGGTAGGCAGAGACTACAGACTTCCATTTGGCACGATCCTGACACACCTCTCTCGCCTCCTTCACATCCATACACCTACGCATGCATGCTCGTCGGTTAAGGGTACTCCTAATTTGGCCCGTTTTCAATAAATCGCCAATTTGGTCGATAAATTTTCGCCTAGGACGTCCCTTTCCGACTCTGCCATTCACTTCTGCAACATAAATTTTGTTTGTCACTCTTTCCTCATCCATTCTTTCCACGTGACCAAACCACCGAAGCATTCCTTTCTTAATCCTGGTCACAACATCATCTTGCAAACCACACTCTTCTCTTATCACACAATTTTTCACCCTGTCATTCAGATTCAGCCCTAACATACTCCTTAACGACCGCATTTCTACTGCATTTATTCTACTCTCGTGCTTCTTCTGCCATACCCAACTTTCACTACCATACGTTAAAGTAGGGACCAACACAGCATTGTGAATTGCCATACGTGCCTTTTTTGACACATTTTGACTCTTCACAATAGAGTGCAGGGCTCCATTTACTCTGTTTCCTGCGTTCACTCGTCGTTCTATATCCTTATCATATCTCCCATCCCTGCTAAATACGCAACCCAAATATACAAACTCAACTACTTGCTCGATCAACTCCCCTTCTATTCTTATTTCACATATCGTTTTACTTTCATCTCTTTCAAAAACCATAATTTTTGTCTTACTTGCGTTCACTTTCATACCCCTTTCTTTTAATGATCTGTTCATTAATGTAACCATCATTTGCAACTCAGCCGCCGACGACGCAAGAATAACTTGATCATCGGCGTACAAAAGGCATTTGATGGTTAACTCACCCATTCTTAATCCGCATTCTTCAACTTTCAAATTTTGCAAACAACTGTCCATAAATAGGTTGAACAACTACGGGGAAGCCACACAGCCCTGTCTGACACCTTTATGGATGCCAAACCAGGCCGAGTAGACCCCGTTGATCCTAACACAAGCACTAGAGTCCCTATAAAGAGATTCCAAGGCCTGTATCAAGCCAGCACTCAACCCAAATGAGTTCAGTGTTTGCCATAGCACATTCCTATCCACTCTGTCATAGGCCTTCTCCAAGTCCATGAACGCACAAAAAACCTTTTGGTTTTTGGCCAAAAACTTCTCCGCAATCATGCGAATGGAGAAGACTTGATCTGTACATCCCATTCCCTTTCTAAATCCCGCTTGCACATCCCAAATTTTTCCATCGGTTTCTTTCATGACCCTTGCAATTAGTACCTTGGCATACAGTTTTCCCACGATGCTAAGAAGGCTGATACCGCGGTAGTTTTTACAGTCCTGCTGCGACCCTTTTCCCTTATATACTGGGACTATCACGGCTTTGCACCAGTCTCCCGGTACCCGCTTCAGTTCCCAGCATAAATTAAACAAGGTGTGCAGCAGGCCTGCCACCACTTCCTCTCCAGCCCTTAGCATTTCGAGTGAAACTCTATCATATCCGGCAGCCTTACCTGCTTTCATGCTTTTCATTGCTTTCATTATTTCATCTATACTTATCTCGCTACCTCCTTCCTCTTCTTTCGAGTTCCTATTTCATTCAGTTCATACGTTGTCTCCTCACTCATAAACATGCTTTCAAAATATTCCTTCCATCTCTTTAAACTCAAAACTTCATCATTCAGAATATAGCCATTCTCATCTCTTATAGCATTCATTATAGGCTGTTTTGAACATCCCCTGGCAGTTCTTACGAGTTTCCAGAACATTTTAATATTTACCTGGAAGTTATCCGATATTCTTCTATCATTCTTATCCGTTCTTTCTTGCTTTTTCCTTTCAACTACTTCTTTTACTCTTTTATTTAGATGTCTAAAGACTGCCTTTTTTCTTTCAAAATCATCATTCGTACCGCTAGAATTACCAGCCTTAGTTGCTAGTAAATCTAGCCATGCTCTCTTCTTTGCTTCAACTTCCGTACGTATCTCATCATCCCACCATAACGTATTATTTTTCCTTTCATTCTTTCTTTTACTAACACCACATACTTCGGTAGCTGCATCTACTAAACCTTTCTTAACATTTTGCCATACATTCTCCAAGTCTAACTCATTCATACATAATTCATCCAAACCACTTACGTTTTCTTTCAGTCTACATTTAAACTTGTTTTTCTCACCTTCATCTTGTAATCTTTCTGTTCTAATACGCTGTAACGCAGTGGTAGACACAGATGACCGATGGCGCCACCGCCTGAATAGACCATTAATTCGGCATAAAACCAAAAAATTATCCGTTCCTACGTTTGACCCCCGGTAAACCCTTGTATCCACCACTGCGCTCCTCAATCTTTCATCCACAATTATGAAATCTATCATGCTTCTATCATCACCTCTTTCCCCAGTGTACATGTGAATCCTCTTGTGGCGAAAGAAAGTGTTCGTCACAAAAAGATTCTTTTCCATACATACAGTGTTTCACCATTCTCATTTATACTTTCATCACCAAACGTTCCCAATATCCTTTCATAACCAAGCCTCCTCACCCCAACTCTTCCATTAAAATCTCCTAGCATAACAACATTTTCATTTCCCTTACATTTCATTAATACCATCCTTACCATTTCCCAAAACTGCTCTCGGATATGAGTGGGCTTAGACATGTCTGGGGCGTAGACCCCTAGCACAAACAACTTCTTTAAGCCCACTTTCAATCGTATCCATAGCAGTCTTGGGCTTACACATTCATACTCTTTCACACATTGCACCATTCTTTCTGATAGGATGATACCTACTCCCTGGCATGCCCGCTCGAGCTCGTCTACACCAGACCAGTATGCGGTATACATGCCATGTGTAGTGACATCCTTCCCCTTCCGTTTCGTCTCATTTATACATAACAAATCTATTCCTCTATCATACATCACCTCGCATACTTCATCCATTTTATCATTCATTGCTCCACATACATTCAACGTAGCCAGACGGGCCTCTGCAATCCACTTTTCGCCCCTCCGGGAGACAGAACGTGACGGGTGGCGAGCCTCGTCGCCGGTTTTCCTCCCGGAGATTCTTCGCACCCCTGCCCCATTAAAGGGGCGCCAGGAACTCGGGGCCATTTCTTTAATTTGATTCCTCATGGTGCGAATGGGGTGGTATATTTAACGCCGCTACCACGGCGAGGAGCCGAGTCTGTGCTTTCGGCTTGTCGCTCATTTAGCACCACCCGGGGGACACGTGTAGGGTGGGCCTAGGATTAGGTGGTCAAAGCCTACGGACGCGAGCGACGGACAGACAGACATGGCGAAACTATAAGGGTTCCTAGTTCACTACGGAACCCTAAAAATGATGAATCTAATAATCAGTATCAGTTACGAGTCCGCAATCGGTAAATGCGATCTTGCCTGTTTAGTACCGCTATACAGTATTTAGCAATATCGTGCGTATTAGACATTCACTCTGCTAGCAAAGTTTAAAAATTCTTTTGAAGTGACGCGCGGTGACATGTGTATTAACAGCAATCTATTGAAAACAATATGATACCCTAAAAGGTGCGGACCGCGAGCTCATGGGTCGTAGATTCGAATCCGCCATTTGACTACTGTCGTGAACCGTGGTTAAAGGAAATATTAGTAATGTTAATCTCATTTGCTATCATTTTTTTAATATTTAAAAAATAATAGCAACATAAAAAGTGATTTGGCAACACTAACAAGAACACAAGCGAGGACTACAAGAGGCTGGCCGCTCACCATCTCGGCGTAGATGCAGGCGAGGCTCCAGACGTCGACGGCGGTGGAGTAGAACTTGGCGCCGAGCAGGATCTCGGGCGCGCGGTACCACAGCGTGACCACCTCGTGCGTGTAGGCCCGCACGGGGATGCCGAAGGCGCGCGCTAGCCCGAAGTCAGCCAGCTTGATGCGGCCCTCCGCGTCCACCAGCAGGTTCTGCGGCTTGAGGTCGCGGTGCAGTACGCGCCGCCCGTGGCAGTACGCAATGCCCTCCAGCAGCTGCCGCAGGTAGCTCTGCGCCCACACACGCACACACACGTGTCACAAGAGTCGACGGAGAGAAAGTAAGCAGGAGACGGGCAGCAGCGCCTTCCTGCGACTCGGTTGCCAAGCGCGCCGACTCACGCAAATATCCCTCGTAAGAGGCAAACTATAGAGACACCTGCTTCAGCAGTGGACTTTAATTGGCAATCACGATAATATGTTCATCTGGTTAATATGGTCACTTTCTTATAGCTCGGAAACTATAATCTTGTTTGCATACATGGTTCTGTGATACAATAGCTCTTCATCAATCAATCAAATAGCACAACAGGACTCTGTGGCACAGTGGTTTAGCAATGAGTTTTGAATCCCGCACGGAACAAGTATTTGTATGACCTACAATAATTGTTTCGGCTCTAGATGTTTGTCATTGTAGAATTTATGTAGGTATGTAAACTGCGTAAGGTTTAAAAAAATATAATATTTCTTTAAAAATAGAAGAATATAAGATCATAAGGGCACTGCTTTATTGACGCCATTTCACAATTGATCGTAATGTGCTCCCAACCGAATTCCGGTCACGCCGAGCCAGTCTCAACGGACACTAGACATCGGCGTGGGACAGGAATATAGTGGCCAAGTGTATGCGCAAGCACGGGTGCACTCTCACAATCCGATGGCACGTACGACATTGTGTTGTTGCCTGTGTCCTCCTGCTAGCTAGCCAGTAAGGGCTATAAAGCTATTATCCCTGAAATACTTCATTACTTAAATAATACATAAAAACGTTAGAAAAACTTCCTAAAGTAGTACAACGAAACTATATTATGAAGTAAAAACTAAATATTTCGTCATATTATCAATTTTACACGCAGCAATGGCAGTAGGTATTTAAAATCCTATATTTCTCAGAACGAGTGCGCCATCTTAAGTACAGAAATTAAACTGTTACTATTAAGTCCCAGAAATGGACACTATTTCAGAAATGCAGTCGATGTTCTCTCTCTTGTGTCATCAATATTTACTACCTAAATTATCAGTCATATAGATGTAAAAACATGCAAACTTCTAACTGCAATAAAATTGTTTTCTCCACATTGATTTTTAATGTTAAAAAGATAATCATTATGCCGTATGATTGTCTGGAAACATATAACATGAAAATAAAAATAGACACAACTTTCAACACAAATGAGAGCAGACGCTGTCCCATGCTTTTATCTGACTACGACGAAGCAAAATACGAGTGCTATAATTTTTACTACATTTTCTTCTACTCATCGTTCTAGTGGTGAATTCTGTTACTACATCACTACAGTTTACAATCTACTAATAATTAAAATGGTAACAGTCAAATAAAAAGCTATTTTACACACTTATATCTCACACTTATATTAATATTAATGATAATGAAAATTATATTACAGTATTTTGCAAACTGCTTGTGGTGCAAATAATATTTAATGATAATAAATTTTAAAATCATAAAAAAATGTAAATAAAATACCTTAACAAGATCAAGAGGTAGAGGCCCTTTTGTGAGATCCATGAGACGTTTGAGATCCATGTGTAAGAATTCAAATACAAGGAAAAGTTTGGTGTCGGCAAGCAATACATCAAGGAGACGCACAACCGACGGATGATTCAAATCACGTAGCACAGATATTTCACGTAGAGCTGTTGATGGCACTCCTTCTGGTTCACTTGAATCAAAAAGTATAATCATTAAAATCTTTAAATACAGTAAATGGTATGGGTTAACTGGTAGAGAATGCCTCAAGGCATTAAGTCCGCCCATTGTATTCTTCTGTTTAAGGATGCAATAAAGAACAAAATAAATGAATAAATAGTAGACGTAGAACTTATCACATACATATAAATACAGTTAATAGTAGACGTAGAGCGTATCACATACATATAAATACAGTTAATAGTAGACGTAGAGCGTATCACATACATATAAACACAGTTAATAGTAGACGTAGAGTGTATCACATACATATAAATACAGTTAATAGTAGACGTAGAGCGTATCACATACATATAAATACAGTTAATAGTAGACGTAGAGCGTATCACATACATATAAATACAGTTAATAGTAGACGTAGAGCGTATCACATACATATAAATACAGTTAATAGTAGACGTAGAGCGTATCACATACATATAAATACAGTTAATAGTAGACGTAGAGTGTATCACATACATATAAATACAGTTAATAGTAGACGTAGAGCGTATCACATACATATAAATACAGTTAATAGTAGACGTAGAGCGTATCACATACATATAAATACAGTTAATAGTAGATGTAGAGCGTATCACATACAAATAAATACAGTTAATAGTAGACTGAGTGTATCACATACATATAAATACAGTTAATAGTAGACGTAGAGCGTATCACATACATACAAATACAGTAAATACAGTTAATAGTAGTAGAGCGTATCACATACATATAAATACAGTTAATAGTAGACGTAGAGCGTGTATCACATACATATAAATACAGTTAATAGTAGACGTAGAGCGTATCACATACATATAAATACAGTTAATAGTAGACGTAGAGCGTATCACATACATATAAATACAGGAGTTAATAGTAGACGTAGAGCGTATCACATAAATATAAATACAGTTAATAGTAGATGTAGAGCGTATCACATACATATAAATACAGTTAATAGTAGACATAGAACTTATCACATACATATAAATACAGTTAATAGTAGACGTAGAGCGTATCACATACATATAAATACAGTTAATAGTAGACGTAGAGCGTATCACATACATATAAATACAGTTAATAGTAGACGTAGAGCGTATCACATACATATAAATACAGTTAATAGTAGACGTAGAGCGTATCACATACATATAAATACAGTTAATAGTAGATGTAGAGCGTATCACATACATATAAATACAGTTAATAGTAGATGTAGAGCGTATCACATACATATAAATACAGTTAATAGTAGACATAGAGCTTATCACATACATATAAATACAGTTAATAGTAGATGTAGAGCGTATCACATACATATAAATACAGTTAATAGTAGACGTAGAGCGTATCACATACATATAAATACAGTTAATAGTAGACGTAGAGCTTATCACATACATATAAATACAGTTAATAGTAGACGTAGAGCGTATCACATACATATAAATACAGTTAATAGTAGACGTAGAGCGTATCACATACATATAAATACAGTTAATAGTAGACGTAGAGCGTATCACATACATATAAATACAGTTAATAGTAGACGTAGAGCGTATCACATACATATAAATACAGTTAATAGTAGACGTAGAGCTTATCACATACATATAAATACAGTTAATAGTAGACGTAGAGCTTATCACATACATATAAATACAGTTAATAGTAGACGTAGAGCGTATCACATACATATAAATACAGTTAATAGTAGACGTAGAGCGTATCACATACATATAAATACAGTTAATAGTAGACGTAGAACTTATCACATACATATAAATACAGTTAATAGTAGACGTAGAGTGTATCACATACATATAAATACAGTTAATAGTAGACGTAGAGTGTATCACATACATATAAATACAGTTAATAGTAGACGTAGAGTGTATCACATACATATAAATACAGTTAATAGTAGACGTAGAGCGTATCACATACATATAAATACAGTTAATAGTAGACGTAGAGCGTATCACATACATATAAATACAGTTAATAGTAGATGTAGAGCGTATCACATACATATAAATACAGTTAATAGTAGACATAGAACTTATCACATACATATAAATACAGTTAATAGTAGACGTAGAGTGTATCACATACATATAAATACAGTTATTAGTAGACGTAGAGTGTATCACATACATATAAATACAGTTAATAGTAGACGTAGAGCGTATCACATACATATAAATACAGTTAATAGTAGACGTAGAGCGTATCACATACATATAAATACAGTTAATAGTAGATGTAGAGCGTATCACATACATATAAATACAGTTAATAGTAGACATAGAACTTATCACATACATATAAATACAGTTAATAGTAGACGTAGAGTGTACCACATACATATAAATACAGTTAATAGTAGACGTAGAGCGTATCACATACATATAAATACAGTTAATAGTAGACGTAGAGCGTATCACATACATATAAATACAGTTAATAGTAGACATAGAGCGTATCACATATGAAAGAATAGAAGAGAACACTTTTTATTGAATACTGTCTGACACCCAGCGCACTGCTGCCCTGTGCTGCCGCAGACGAAATACTAGTCGAAATATAATTTTAAATGTGTAAGAGTTATATTATTTAATATTTATTTATTATATAATTTCACTGCCCGGTTTTCAGACACAATAGTAAGACAATAGCTGACCTTTATATAGTGCACAGAACAGCGAAAGAGTTAATTAGGAATGATAATTGTGTTCAAATACATTTGTCCATGCGGTACGCGCGCCCCTACTGTAAGTTAATTTTATTATGCCTATAACCTTCGAGCAAGTGCAAGCAATAAGTTGACAAAGTTTCACCGCAATCTGATGAACTTTATTGCAACGCATAAAATACAAACAAACAAACATTAATTTTTATATATCAGGTATATTATAAGAATACATATTGAAATTGAAAGTTAAGTTTCACCTCTGGTTCGGAATAAAACATATGTACTGGTTCTTACCACCTCTTACCTTATAAGTGGAAACCCAACAGGGCATTTTTAAACATTAATTTACAATATATTATATACATTCACGTAGTAGAGCCACGCCGCAACTGTATTACAGTTGTAGCACGAATGGGTCGGCTCGACCGAGGCAGGACTTCGCTCTCACAGAATACCAGCGTAATATAGCAGCTCAGTGCTGCTGTTTCATATGGTGAGTGTAGAGAACCCACAGCAATCGTAATAATATTATCTTATTATTACGATTCCTGTGAGAGAATCGGAGGCCCTTTTTACTGAAAACTAGGCATTTCATCTTGGTCCTCACGGGTGACAACCTATTTTTATTTTGATTCTTATTCGAGGACAAAAGTAGATCTATAGTCCAAAGCAACCACTTACTATCAGGTGGATTGTGTGATAGTTTGTCACACGATTCTATGAAAAAAAATTAGTATAAACACACACAGAAACAGTATGATAGCAATCACAACATTCCCAGGATGAATTCCAATCATGTATTGTTTAGTAGTAGATATAATAACCATTACTAAACAATTTTGCTTAATAAAATTTAAGTTTTTGATAGATAGGTCCTGCATATTTTCTAGGACTGTGTTGTAAGACTATACATTACCCCATGAAGGAATTACCGACTCTGGAATTGAGTACCTGGTACAACTAGCTTGTGCTTGTTCCTAATATTTTCAGAATGTTCATCATTTCGCTATTTTGAATAAAACTATTTTTGTTTTCTTGTACATACATTAAATTTTTGTAAATATTCTGAGAGATCAAAGTTAATATATTTCTTTCTTTCATTTTTTCTCTAAGGGTTTCAGTCCGACTTAGGCTATAAATTGCTCTTATACAAAAGTCGTCAATGTCGGTCACATTACCCCATAGCAAAATTCCATATGACATTATGCTACAGAAATAAATAAAATAATCTATAGTCCAGATGGATAAAGATGTTACGGTACGTCGACGTACCGTCAACATGCACAGCATCAATAACGAAAACTCGCTCATAACGTTATAATATTCGATTAATTGGAAATTATCTTTACTGGGAAAATATTTAAAAATAATTGTATACGTAAGTACGTACAATAATTTTAAAATAACAGTAATAAGTAGCGACCCGATGTGGCTTCGCCTGGATGGGATCTATGAATGTGGCGTTATTTAGGCTTAAGTTAATCATTAAAGACCATTTATTTTATCTATTCAATATTACTATTTTAATAAAGTCTCTAAATTTTTCGAATTAAATGTAATCTAGATCCCTCCTGGTATTACTCTGTATTTGTTCATGAAGTTTCAATACAATCGGTTCAGCCATTCCCAAGATAAGCTCCTACAACACAATGTAGACAGACCAACGAAATTTAAAAAAATGGTTTATCATGTCTCAGGGATATTGTTTATATTTTATACAAAATATATCAACCATAATTATGAAGAAAACGCTCAGAACGCGTTTAGTTCACAAATTAGCGAAACCGGGGTGAATTTTTAACCCTGCTATGAAGTGGAAATCGAGTTCTCTTCATATCTCGACGTTTCGAGGTCCTAGGAAGCTATTCAGGCTATTTTTGCTATGATAACCGTATCAAATGCCGCAAATTGCGGCATCTGATAGGGTCTGACTGAACTTAGATTTTCTGTGAATTTAAACAGAATCGTCACTGTAGATTCTGAGAAAACCTTAAAAATTGGAGTTCCTTTAATTTTTTTTTGTAATATCTTCGACACCCGTTTTTGATCAATTTTATAATCTAGTCAGCTCTTTTACTTAAAAAAAGACGTCGATTAACGTCAATCGCAACTAAATTGGTTAACTGTTGAAAATAACTTGAAAAATTACCGTTAAATCAATTTTTTTTGTAATAAGTTTTTTTGTTTAGTTGAATAAACTGCGTCGATAGATGCAAACCGTATCAGAATCGGTTGATCCTAAACCTACATGAGCTCGAAGGACTCAAAAACGTTAAAAGTTTCAGGTGAAATTTAAAGCGCTTTGCATTTGAAATTAGCGGGAAGTTGCAGGAATCAACCGTATTTTTATTTTTTTTTTGTAGTTTAAGTCATTTTGTTATCATTGATTCCAATGAGAAATTGGTCTAGAGATATAGAACGTACGAAAACCGCATATCGCAACGTAATTTTTTTGCAGTCTTTACCGGTGGGTGTAAGTATAGATAGCCACAGTGTGCGAGCGAGAGACGAATAGAGGCGATGCCATTTTCAATCCAATCTTTAACCGCGCGGATAGTAACTGTTTCAACACATGTAACCTTTCATATCTTGTTTACAGCATATGCTGCAGACCTAATTTGCTAGCTTGTTTAGATATCAAAAACACACAAGCCTGTCCCTTTTTTGAAGTAGCTAAAAAGAAGTATGCACTCCATGTTTAAGCTAAAAAGTACTAACAATTGCTGGCCACATTCTAGGCAGCATACACATAACTTATTTACATAAACATATCTTTATAGCAGTGACAAGCAAGTGTAGTTATTAGGTATCGCTAGGTTATTCTGGTATATAAAATACCAGTTGTCACACATGTTGACATTCCCCAATCGAGCAGACCCATGCCTGCCGCAGTCACAATACACTACAGGGGCTCTGCCTCTATCATGTAAAACATACATAAACACTGATACAACAATACAATAAAGAACTTTTGTACTTTTAGTTTTTTCAAATTTTAAATTATAACATCTATTTCATCAGTCATTTTCTTTTGCTTGTCTAATGGTAAAATATGGCAGTATGATTTTTTTGGGTATATCTCACTATTCTCTGTATTACCCCTACTTGGAAATTACTAAGCTTAAGGGTTTCTTAATAAAATTATTTTTAGTGACTATAAATATTATTATTAATAATGACAATATCCTTCTGAAATCTTTTAATTATGATGAAAATATATATATATATATATATTTTTTATATTTGTAATATTCATTTTTATTAGACATTTCAATTTGACTCAAAACTGCACATAGTAAAGTAATTACAATATTTCATCTTTAAGACAGGCTTCATTTTGTGCCCTGTAGAAACCCTACCACCTACGCACAATGTAGAGTCCCTCTAGCAATTAGCCCAGAAATACTATAATCCCTTACCTATTTCTACCACCAACCAGCAATTCATCTACTAATAATTAGAGGCTTTCTATTTTTGGAAAGAATGTACAAAACCTACAATACATTTTAAGAGACTTTTGTGTGAACCTCAAACTCAGTTTCTCAAATCATCCAGGGATGATATTCCTTTCCCAGTTGTGTAATAAAGGTTAAATTATTAATTAACCTCGCCTGTGAAAGAAGGGTGCAGAACTCGGTAATTTTTGATGATTGTTGTAGATGGTTGAAGTACAATAACCTCAGGTGTATTAAATTTATTAATGGTATGTTTTGTAAATGTTAGACAATGTACCGGACTGGAATGAAATTAATATTCATAAAATAATCACTTGTTCCTTTACAACTGTATATTTTATGTAGCATTAGTCTTCATGACATGTAATCACTTTTCAGCTTATCATACACAGAGACGCTTTCTAACAATTGTAGTGAACATTTCACTATTTTAGTATCACTTAAATAGATTCAATAATACAAGTATAAATGTCACAGACAGCTGTTGCTCTATGACTGATTGTTTTGCTATCTGACTTACAACTTTTATAGCCAAAATAGAATAGGGTTTGGTTCTGATTTCTGCAAGTGAAATCTATTGTCACAGCAAAATACTTACCAACAGGATGTTATCAAAAAATCTACAAAATGTTAGCAGTGTTATGCCAAATGAAATAATAAACCTAGGTTAAATTGTGATTACATAAATTACCCACGCTTTTCAAGTAATTTCCATACAATTTATTTTATAATGTTCATAGTGTAACATAAATATTCTCAACATAAGAGAACATTCTGACTTTAGCAGCACCCTTCTACTAAAGTTACAAATACTTTCAAAACATTTAAAGACTTTCTATATCATGCCTACATAATGGCATAAGTGATGTATTGTACTCAACTGATGTATTGTTATGTCTAACAGGTGACATATAAAATAGCATTATTCAATGTTTATACATTAGGCTCTATAATATAACGCAAGAGAAATCTGAAAGTATTGTTATGTTAGATATGAAGAGAATTTTAGGCTTTTAGTGAATGTGTGATTTGTAGGGAACTTGTAAAGAAATTTTGATAGAAAGCTTTAAAGCGTAAGCTTAACTTCCACTATGTGGCTCATAAACCTATTCACCAACATGTTCACATGAATATATAATACCCACCATTTCCTCACTATGTCTGTTACTCTGCGACCTATGTTTAACATGGCTGAACCACAAAGCAGCTATATTATAGTTGTAGCATGAATGGGTTGGCTCGAAAGGTAGAGAACTACTCTTACAGTACAAATACCAGCGTAAAATAGCAACAATACTGTTGTTTTATCTAGTGAGAGAACCAGAGAACCTTTTGACTGGATATGGGGCAATCCATCCTAGTCCTCAGGGGTGACAACGCATCTGTGTTTTGATTCGTAATTGAGTGCTTACCATCAAGTGGACTGTGTGCTCGTTTTTAATATATAAAAAAATAGATACTTAAACCATAAGAAGACACGAGCAAGAGGTATACTACTGCAAAAACTAACTAGGACCAATTAGTACGTAGTACACAGACACCAAGTAGTTTCCCAATTCTCCATTCGATGGGCTCAAAAGCACCATGTCATTAATTAATTAAAAATGATGAGCTCATATTAAAAACAACTGTAAGAACTATTTTCGTAGATACTAATATGAAGTACAGCTGCCAAACGTCAATTTTTCGCGCCAAAACTTACTTCTCAAGTTTTATTTTCTTCAAAGCAATTTCTTTTCCAGTTATTCTATCTCTTGCTTTATACACCACTCCATAAGTCCCTTCACCAATTTTTTCTACCTTTGAGAAGTTTTCCATTACAATTAGAATTCAAAATTTTTAGCAAATAGATATGTTTATTTAAATGTGATCGATTATCAGAATAATTTCTATCATAGATAAATAAATATGTAGCAAGCTAATTTCCATATATATTTACTATACTCTTTGCAAGATAACAAGATCAAGTTTTTATTTAAAACTGGCTTTACGGCTCTGGGTTCTAGCCCTTCTGAGCCTATCATTTCTTTCAGAACCATGGACCTAGAAAAAAGGGCGGACAGAGTATTGCTAACTCGCTAAGAAACAATTGACGCACCGCAATGCCGCCGTTTAACTATGTGTGAGTAACTACGCGAGCGCGGATTGGAACGTATGGCGGATGGTAGACTTACTATGGTGTTCATGTGTGCATGCCGACTTGTTTGTATTAGCGAAATGACTTATTATGGATGCGTCAGTAATTGTTTTAAGAGATGGCGTCCGCCCTTTTTCTAGGTCCATGTTCGGAATCTTCATTTTTATATATTTTTCTTGCCTCGTTGGTCTAGCGGTTGTAGTAGTGCGACTGCTGATCATGAGGTCCTGGGTTCGAATCCCGGGTCGGGCCAAAAAATCAATTATTGAGTTTTTCTGTCAAGAAATTCTCAGTAGCTGTCCGGAGTCAGGAAGTTGGCGGTGTCTCACCCCCGTGCCTCGGAAAGCACGTAAAGCCGTTGGTCCTGCGCCTGATCTCTCTCCGGTCGTGTCGGTTTACCGTCCCATCGGATTATCAGAGTGAGGGAATAGAGAGTGCACACCAGTGCAGATCCTGCCACCGCCAGGCGGTGTCGTTAGCTGCACTACCCTCTCGAGATCGTTCAACTTCCCTTTCTACAGTTCGCTTAGGGCAGCTGGATCGAAGATGGCCCCTTTCCCCACAGCCATAACACCTAGGGCTGTATCCTTTGTTGCGGTCGCGAACTGTAGCTGCTGCAACCTCCCTGACGCGATGGGAACGATGATCCTGCCGCACGGCTTCCACCTCCGGTGCATGGGCCAAGGCATCCTTAAGCGTGTCGTGGTGCCCGAGCCTCACAGCAGCTCTGACTTCAAGGTCGCGGATGCTGTCGATGAATGTCTGAACCAGGTTCCCTTCAATGAGCGCAGGTACAGACTGGTATGCTTTTCGAACCATCTTCTCCACCTCAAGGGCCCACTGCTGCAGGTTTTCGTCGCTGCATTGCACGCGATCTTTAAGCTGTGCGCGAAAGACGTGTTCCAGGTGAGCGTCGCCATATCGCGCCTCCAACGCCTCAAGAAGCTGCTCGTAGGTCACTTTCTTACCGAGAGCTTCCGTTAGCTTCAGTTAAGGCTTGGTCGCGCAGGCCTAGGGTGAGTGCAGTCATGGCTTGGCTTTTATTCCAGCCGTTCGCCTCCATGACGGCCGCGAACTGGATTTTGTAGGCCGACCAGGAAGAAGTCCCGTCGAACGGCGGCACTTTGAATCCACGTAGCGAAGGTGTTGTAGCTACTACGGGAGCTGTTGTTCCCTCCCCAAGTTTGAGGTCGTCCAGGGTTTTCTTCACGTCAGCCATCACGTTATCAACCCGATTGTTCACTTGGTCGATTTGGGATTTAGCTTCCTTGATTTGGGTTACAGCTTCCGACAGGCGGTTGTCATGTTGAGCAACCCTATCCTTCACCTCCCTTATCTCTTTCCCAAAGGTAGCATGAAGGTCCTTCATAAGGAGCATCTGCTCTTCCAACCGACGGGGCTGTTCCTCTTGTCCTCCCCGCAGTTGCTCTTCCAAACGACGGACCTGTTCCTCCTGTCGGCGAGTCTGCTCCTGCAGCATCACCATCAGAGCACCTAAGTCAGGTCTTGCAGATGTAGGAGCTACTGACGGGCCTGCACCCGGCGGCTAGCCCTCAGACGTCTGCGGTGTTGCACCACCAAATCTTCTATGGTCCGTCTCCTGCTGGCGTTGACTTCGGGTACGGACACCCTCCGTTTCCTCCTTAGGTAAAATCGGCATGATTTAATCCCACTTCTAACACCAATTGTTACGGGCTTGAGGTTCTTGACAGTAAAAATTCATCATAATCATCATAAACACTCGCGCCTGTCACCCAGAGGGGTAGGCAGAGACTACGGACTTCCATTTGACACGATCCTGACATATCTCTTTCGCCTCCTTTACATCCATATATCTACGCATACATGCTCGTTGGTTAAGGGTACTTTTAACGTGGCCCATTTTCAAAATATCGCCAATTTCGCCGATAAACTTTTTTCTAGGGCGTCCCTTCCCGACTCTGCCGTTCACATCCGCCATATAAATTTGCTTTGTCACTCTTTCCTCATTCATTCTTTCTACGTGACCAAACCACCGAAGCATTCCTTTCTTAATCCTGGTCACAACATCATCTTGCATACCACATTCATCTCTTATCACGTAATTTCTCACCCTGTCATTCAGATTCAACCCTAACATACTCCTTAAAGACCGCATTTCTACAGCATTTATTCTACTTTCGTGCTTCTTCTGCCACACCCAGATTTCAATACCATACATCAAAGTAGGGACTAACACAGCATCATGAATTACCATACGTGCCTTTTTTAATACATTCTGGTTCTTCACAATAGAGTGTAGTGCCCCATTCACTCTATTCCCTGCATTTACTCGTCGTTCTATATCCTTATCATATCTATCATCCCTGCTAAATACACATCCCAAATACACAAACTCATCCACTTGCTTAATTAACTCTCCTTCTATTCTTATATCACATACCGTTTTGCTTTCCTCTTTTTCAAAAACCGTCACTTTCGTCTTACTTGCGTTCACTTTCATTCCCCTTTCTTTTAATGCCCCGTTCATTAATGTAACCATCATTGGCAACTCAGCCGCCGACGACGCAAATATGACTTGATCATCGGCATATAAAAGGCATTTGACGGTTAACTCGCCCATTCTTAACCCACATTCTTCATCTTTCAAAGTTTGCAAACACCTGTCCATAAATAGGTTGAACAGCCGAGGGGAAACCACACAGCCCTGTCTGACACCTTTTCGGATGCCAAACCAGTCCGAGTAGACTCCATTGATCCTGACACAAGCACTAGAATCCCTATAAAGAGACCTCAATGCCTGTATCAAACCAGCGCTCCACCCATATGAGTTCAGTGTTTTCCATAACACATTCCTGTCCACTCTGTCATAAGCCTTTTCCAAGTCCATGAACGCACAAAAAACTTTCTGGTTTTTAGCTAAAAACTTCTCCGCAATCATGCGCATGGAAAAGACTTGATCTGTACACCCCATACCCTTTCGAAAACCCGCTTGCACATCCCAAATTTTTCCATCAGTTTCTTTCATAACTCTTTCAATTAACACCTTAGCATACAGTTTACCCACAATACTAAGCAAGCGGATACCACGGTAGTTTTTACAGTCCTGCTGTGACCCTTTTCCTTTATATATTGGAACTATAACTGCTTTACACCAGTCATCCGGTACCCGTTTTAATTCCCAACATAAATTAAACAAGGTGTACAGCAGGCCTGTCACCACTCCCTCTCCAGCCCTTAGCATCTCGAGTGATACTCTATCATATCCAGCTGCCTTACCTGCTTTCATGCTTTTCATTGCTTTCATTATTTCATCTACACTTATCTCCATACCCCTTTCCACTTCTTTCGGAATTTCTTGTTCATTTAATTCAGACGACTCTTCACTCATAAACACGCTTTCAAAGTATTCCTTCCATCTGTTTAAATTCGAAACTTCATCATTCAGAATACATCCATTCTCGTTCTCTTATAGCATAAATTATAGGCTGTTTTGTATTTCCCCTGGCAGTTCTTACGAGTTTCCAGAACATTTTTATATTAGCCTGGAAATTATCACATATCCTTCTATTATATTCTTATATTCTTATCCGTTCTTTCTTTCTTTCTTTTTCCTTTCAACTACTTCTTTTACTCTCCTATTTAGACGTATAAATTCTGACTTTTTTCTTTCAATCTCATCATTCATACCACTAGAATTACCAGCTTTAGTTGCTAGTAAATCTAACCATGCTTTCTTCTTTGATTCAACTTCCACCCGTACCTCATCATCCCACCACAACTTATTCCTTTTCCTTTCATTTGTTCTCTTACTTACACCACATACTTCGGTGTCTGCATCCACCAAAACTTTCTTAATATTATCCCACACAGTATTCAAGTCTAAATCATTCATACACAACTCATTCAAACACCTAATATTTTCTCTCAGTCTGCATTTATACTTCTCTTTCACATCTTCATCTTATAACTTCTAAATTCAAATTCAAATTCATTTTATTCATTTGCGATATATGGGTTACAATAGGTCTTAATAATTTAACAAAATACAGCCATATTCTACCTTTCGGTATGCAAACTACTTAAATATTAGATTTTATTTATAATTAAAATTGAATGGAAAATGCCGATAATTACATTAACATAATATAACCCTATTTGTATATTTGCGCTACTAACATAATAATAATTCACAAAATAATGATAAAATACATGTAATAATTAAAATTGTAATGTCCAAGTAATAATGTCAAAACGAGTAGGTATAAATTGTCTCAAAATTAATAACATAGATAACGTTTCGTTCAATAAATTTGATAGTTAAAATTTAAAAATTGTCATATAGATAATCGTCAATATTATAATAAGCTTTTATGGTTAAAAATGTGTTTAGTTGTTTCTTAAAAATGTGAAAGCTCTTAGAATCTCTTATATATTTAGGTAAATGGTTATACAGTCGAGGACCCATACAGAATACGCTTTTTTGAAACAAAACAGTCTTACTATTGGGATGGCTCAATTTATCTTTATGACGCTGGACATTTAGTTTTTTGTAAAAACTTAAGTTTTGACGTACAAATAAGACTACCTCATATATATATAGACATGGCATTGTTAATAATTTTAAATTAATGAAGTATGGCTAACAACTCTCACTTTGGTTAATTTTACAAATGGCTCGTAAGCATCTCTTTTGAGCTTTAAATACTGTTTCTTTGTCCGTACAATTACCCCAGAACATAATACCATATCTAAGTGTAGACATAACATAAGCATGATATGATGCCATTGCGGCGGATGTGTCCACAACTTTTCCAAGCATATATAACGCATACGAAAAACGATTTAATTTCATACACACACTGCTCACATGAGACTGCCAGTTCAAATTGCAATCTACATTTATACCCAAAAATTTTATATTATCTATGGTATTGATTTTTTGTCCTAGATAATTGATATTTAAATTATTTATTTTATTACGTTTTTGATAGAATGTCATAAGTTTTGTTTTTTCTAAATTTATATTTAAATTATTTATGTTTAGCCAATTCATGATTTTCTCTAAAGCAAAGTGTATGTTACTTTCTAAATCTATTTTGTTTCTGCTAGTGAAAATAACTGTGCTATCGTCAGCAAATAATACTATTTTGTGATTAATGACGTTGGGAAGGTCGTTGATATAAATAAGAAACAACAATGGTCCTAAAACACTTCCTTGCGGTACTCCAGTTTGTACGACTCTGTATTCAGAAACATAGGTCATTTCTTTTCTTGATTTTAGACAAATTTTTGTAATGTGTGTACTTTGTTTTCTGTTAACTAAATATGATGTTAGTAGATCTAGTGCATTACCTCGAATGCCGTAGGCTTCAAGCTTTTTGAGTAATATTTTATGATCAACATAATCAAATGCTTTAGTAAGATCCATGTAAAGTGCACATACAGGTATTTTATTGTTTAGGCTAGACATAACGGTATTAAAAAAATTGTATAGAGCCATATTTATAGTCTTATTTTTTCTAAATCCTATTTGTTCTTCTCTAAGAATATTGTACGTTTCAAGGTAGTTATATAAAGAGTTATAAATTATTTTCTCAAATACTTTTGAGAGCACAGGTATAAGCGCAATGGGCCTATAGTTAGACATATTCTCCCGATCATTTTTTTTGAACAGTGGTTTGACAATTGTAGACTTTAGTCTTTCAGGAAATATACCATTACAAATACATAAATTGAAAATATAACTAAGTACCGGAGCAATTGCACCGGATACGTATTTTAGAACTCTTGTACAAATTTCATCACAACCGGTACTGTTTGTGTTTTTAAGAGATTTTATAGCTTTATCTATATCGAATGATGTTGTGGGTGGTATAAAAATTGAATTGGGATTGTTAAAAGTTAACTTATATGGTTTATCACTATTTGGGCGGTCTTTATTAATTTTGTTGGTATAGAAATTATTAAATGCTCTAGTTATAACTAGAGGATCCTCAATTATATCACCATCAACAATAATTTTACTAATTGCTTCTTCATTTGTGCCATTTTTGTATTTATTTATAACTTGCCAGGTAGCTTTAGATTTATTTTGTGCTGTGTTAATATAGTAATTATTTTGGGACTTTTGGGTAAGTTTGATAATTTTGTTTAGACGTTGGGAATACTCTTTTAATATAGTTTTATTTTCTACGCTGCGTTTTTTTCTGTATTGCCATAATAACTGTCGTTTACGCTTAGTACATTTTTTTATCCCATTAGATAACCATTTTGTTTGTTTACGTGAATAGACTTTAATTTTAATGTCAGGAAAGCATAGGCGATAGAGGAGGGTAAACAAGTCATGAAATTGGTCAAAAGCAAGATTAGGATTTTTTTCCTTATAAACCTCGTTGAAAGTGAGAGAGCTCAAGTAATTGTTAAATTTGTGAAGATTTTCTACATTGTAATCGCGTCTGCTTATATGCCAGTAATTAAGATAGTAGCTTTGCTTGACTGGGCATATTAACAGTTGTGCCGTATGGTCTGACAAAGCTAAGTCATAAGTATTGCTCTTACACCCTTGAATATTGTGAAAAATATTGTCGATACATGTATCACTAATTAGTCGTGTAGGTACTTTTATAGCTGTTTTTAGATTGTAGCTTGTTAATAGTTGTATAAAATTTTTAGAAATTTTGGTTGCATCTATTATATTTATATTAAAATCTCCACAAATTATAATTTTATTTTTATTATTATTACAGTATTTTTTTAATATTAAGTCAAAATTATACAAAAAATTATTCAAATCTTCATTTCTATTTTTTGGAGGTCTATAGGTACATATTATTTTAAGTTTATGCTCTATAAGTTCAACTGCACAACATTCAATTATGTTCGTTTTACTAAGTTGTGCTATTTCAGGAAGAGGTTTATATTTATGACATTTCTTAACTAGTATGCAGGAGCCTCCATGACGATTTTCTCGAACATGGTACGATGCAAGAGTATAATTATCTAATTTGAATAAATTCGTATCATTGTAAGTCATATTATGTTCAGTTATGCATAGAACATCAGCCGAGTACCCATCTAATTCGAGGTTATTTAAATTAACAGTTAGGAGATCAGATTTAGCAATTAATCCATTAATATTTTGATGTAATATATATAGTTTTTTATATACGAAAAAAGATTTTTACCAGAATGTGTCATATTTTCATGCCTGGGAGTGATTTCCTCTATGGTATTGTCTTTCAATATATCGTCACTTTGTGTACATGTGTCTACCATTTCAATATTGTCAGTTTGTGTACTAGTAGTCTGAAGTGGAGTAAATTTTGAGGAAATTACTATATTTTGGTAAAGCTCAAATTTTAATTTGTAGTCGAGGCGTAGAATTTCACGTAGCAGAAAACGACATGGTATATATGGAGTAAAAGTATATTGATGAAAGAAAGGCCTCGAACCATTTGTATTTATAAACGAAACATTAGTAAAGCTTGTACATATAAATCTTAATACATAGTTAAGTTTGCCGATGTTTAAATTTCTATTATATGGTATTTCTGTAAATATTACATTAGTATTTGTTACACTATAAAGCCAGCTCCTGATACAAAATTCAAATTCATATGGATTATTCTCATTCACGCCGCCCAGAACAACAACATAATCATTTTTTGTAAGTTTACATATTTCGTTCTTTTCTGTTTGTAAGACTTCCTGTATTTTAGCTCCTGGTTTCCAATAACAAGTTACAAGAAAATTATCGCCAATTAATTTTTGAAGAGTTTTGCAAATATTTCGCCCTTGTTGGTCAGCAATAACAATTATTTTCCTTCGCATCTTAAATGTAGCTAATTTGTAATTGTCATTTTTTTCTCTTATATAATATGGCAAAGTGTTTCCTAGTTGAGTTTTTGGAGTATTAAGAGATGTATTAGTATTTGTGTCTGTTGCAATTACTTCCGTGTGTTCTTTGTGAATATCTTCTTTCTCTAGATGAATGTGACATGATGTGTTAGGCAGATGATTTGAGCTATCTGTTTTTTCTATGTTATTGACTAATTCTTGTTCTTTGTCTTTGATTTCGTTAATACTGCACTCTGACATTTCTATTCTGTTTATAGGTGTACACAGTAAATTTTGTTCTGGTATCTGCAAAGTTTGTCGTCTCTTGTTCACTGATGCAGGTGTCGTATTACATGAGGAATATGTAGTAATTTTTTTTAAATGTTTTAATTATTTTTTGGTATTTTTCAATTTCTAACTTTAAACTAGTATTTTCACTATTGAGATTATCTATTTCTTGATGAGCAATTAATAAGTCACTCGACAGTTTATTTATTTTTTCATTTAAATCAATATTATTTTGACTTTCATATAGAGATGCATTCGGTAAGCTTGCCACGGTTGCGTCAAACAGTGTAGAAGAGGAATTGAGATCTGACATATCTTGTAACGAACTAGAGCGTTTTGGTTTTCTGTACGTTATATTTCCAAATTCCATTTTTTAATTAGGACTGCTTATTAAATAATTTTTTACATATAATCTTAAAATACGCCCTTCGTTATATAAGCGATAACAAGAAATAAAAGTATATACGAATATAAAATAAAAGATGTTTTTAAACTCGTGGGTTGGACTCGATCCCACACCTAATTGTATTGTAAGAAGTGAATAACACACTAAGTTAAGCTGATTAGACCAATCTTCTATTAAGTCATGGATTGAAATTATCAATATTATTACAAATTTTCATATTTTTCAATAGTCGGTAGCCGTTGAAATTGTCAATTATAATTATTATACTAATATTTCTTCCACAAATCTTATGAATAATCTTATACATTTTATAGCTACAGTCGGAATAAACACATTATATCGTACATATCACAAATATACTGTTCAATATATAACTTTTTGTAGGCAATAATGCAATTTATACAACATAAATGTTTAATTATTGAGGAGGATACATCTTCATTCTTCAAACTTCTCTATTCTTATACGCTGTAACGTAGTGGTAGACACAGATGTCCGATGCCGCCACCATTATTTCGACATAAGACCAAGTAATGATCCGTCCCTACGTTGGACCCCCGGTAAACCCTTGTATCTACGACTGCGCTCCTCATTCTTTCATTCACAATTACGAAATCTATCATGCTTCTATCATCACCTCTTTCCCATGTATACATATGAATCTTCTTATGACGAAAAAAGTATTCGTCACAAAGAGATTCTTTTCCACACATACGGTGAGGAGGTCTTCACCATTCTCATTTATACTTTAATCACCAAACGTTTCCAATATCCTTTCATAACCAGACCTCTTCACCCCAACCCTTCCATTAAAGTCTCCTAACATAATAATATTTTGATTTTCCTTACATTTTGTCAACACCATCCTTACCATGTCCCAAAACTGCTCTCGGATGTAAGTGGGCTTAGACATGTCTTGGGCGTACACCCCTAGCAAGAACAGCTTCTTTAAGCCTACTTTCATTCGTATCCATAGCAGCCTCGGGCATACACATTCATACTCTTTCACACATTGACCCATTCGTTCTGAAAGGATGAAACTGACTCCCCGGCAGGCCCGTTCGGTCTCGTCTACACCAGACCAATACGCGGTATACGTGCCATGTGCAGTGGCATCCTTTCCCTTTCGTTTCGTCTCATTTACGCATAACACATCTATTCCTCTGTCATTCATCATTTCGCATACTTCATCCATCTTATCATTCATTGCTCCACATACATTCAGCGTAGCCAGACGGGCTTCCACAATCCACTTTTCGCCCCTCCGGGAGACAGAACGTGACGTGGTGGCGAACCTCGTCGCCGGTTTTTCTCCCGGAGATTCTTCGCACAAAAAATTGCCGATAGAATTACCAAAATTAACACTTTAATTCACTTTACCTAATTAAACTTAAAACACTAATAATTAATCACACTGATTCACTTTATTCCGCTCCGAAGCTTCGCTTGTCTCGCCAAATTCAATACTTCCCCGCTCGCATCTCGCAGCGCCTTTAAATACACATTATCACCGAAACATCCAGAATATTCAAGTAAATACGCGCGCCAATCAACTAGGCGCCGAAAGTTCGAGTGTCGGGCTTCTAGAAGCTTAGTTCTTCGTTTCGATACTAGATGGCGCTGTCGGTTGAAAGATTATTGATGTCATTTTCTGGAAAGCTCTCCTCGCTCCGTTACCCGACACAGATGGCGCTAGTGCCGGGTACATAACGTCAACTTAGGCGCGCAACATTATTGTTAAGGCTGATTACTGGAGTATTCTTAAGTTTAAATAGCTTAAAATCACTTAGCAGCAGTGAGTTATTTATTAAACTTTCAATAAATGATTGATTTTTTTTAATAAATGTCATTTTAGTTAAGATAAACACATTTTTATTGATTGTCTGGTGATAATTCCCTTATGATAATTACGGTTACATTACATATTTTTAATATTTATCTCACTATGTTAAAAAAACGAAAATACCGAAACTACCGAAATCTCGGTATTCATTAAAAACTAATACCGAAAACACCGGTTTTTGAAAAGAAGTCCGGTATTGCGACCCCTAGTTCGTAGCAATCTAAGAAGTTTACAAGTTGGTTTAAGTGAAGAAAAAATGTTTTGTGAACTTAAAATTGTTGAATCTTGTTCAGTTCAATTCTTAGAACAATTAAAATTTTTATATGTTTAAAAGTCATAAAGATTATTGTTTAACCTAAAACTACGTTATCGTCCTTTCTCACTCGAGGCCACGCTAATCATTAGTTTATAGGTTTCTCTGTCTACGTAGAATATACTGGCGTACAGACGACCTGACAACCCGAAAACTCGTGACCAATTTTGATTTATCATTGTGTGCGTTAGCTATGTATATTTTACTTACAAGGACTATCGAAAAATTATTGTTAAAAAGATAGGTAAAAAGATTAAAAAATTAGTTTCGTGATCGAAACTGAATAACTTCAAAAAGTAACTGAATTTTTAACATGATATTCTAAAATAATTAAAAAATATAAATACCTACGTTTTGTTGGATTTTATTTCAAAATGTACAAAATTCCAATGATCTCTGAAGAAAATCAGAGACCCCAAGAATCAGCTCGGAAATTTGCAATTTGGACCTTTAGAAAAAAATATTTACTGCCATGGACAGCTTAACCGGAATTTTTCTGACAACATAATTTTAATCAAATATAAATAGGTAGATACTTAATTAAGTAAACACCTACTTATATTTCAAATATTTTATAAAATGTTTTGCTGGGGAAATAAAACCGAGGACACGGAGAAATAATGGTTGCTTTATTTTTCCTATTTTAAGTATTACTTTTTATAATTACAAACATTTAATAATTAACAGTTAAATACATTATAGAAGATTATTTTACATTCGACTTAAATATGAATGTAAGTTAAATAAGATTGTTCTATTTAAAGACTACCATGTTTATGAGGCTACTGAAAAATATAAAGTAATAATAAACTTATTATCATTTTAGCTGCATGAATTTTATAACATAATGATATTAACAGAGACTGGAAATATTAAAGTACACCAAATGTTTGACGATACATATGTACCCTTTTTTAATATACGTTACATTATGTATATTATATTTATGTTAAGAAAATGGTCATCCATCCATGAGCTGACCTTGAAAAGTGCATCTTTTCTCGCAGATCTATCGATCCGCGCAGCTATTACTTAACCACGAGCTCCTCTTCTCTACGACTAACACTGTTGGTGATAAACCACGCTATTAAGCACTCAATATCAAATACTGGAATTTATAGTATCCTGGCACACAGAACCGGGCGACTTATGTGCGGGCGTCTAGCGGCGCTTCAGGAGCATTACTTAATATTCATACCTAACTACGCTAAGTTTTACCATTGTGACTTGGGAATATAATCCGAAGTTCCATTCAATCCCTTGTGGGAAATAGCGTGATGCTATGAATATTGTACTAGTAGTATGGCCATGAGGTGCGGATGGTTAAGTAATGTTATACATTTTTCGGTCGATAAATAACTACGTCTTTAATGTATTACACTTTTATAATGTATAAAAATCTATCTTTATCTTTATCAAAAGTTTTTGAAGTAAAATTTTTGAAGTCTTATTATACTTACTGGTACAAATAATGTAGAAATGTCTCTTTTTAATAAAATTGGTTTTATTCTACTTTTTCTTTTATATTTCTCAAAAAATGTTTCTTCTTTGGATTCCAACTAAACCACTCACTTAATCTTAACCATTTTTTTTCTAATTGTAGAATCCGACGAAGAAAAACGACATTAAAAAATTACATTTTTAGAACGCAAACCAAGCATAAATTTCCATTCCTCTTCTTGCTGTGTGGACAAGTTTGACGATTAATTATAAACATATAAGATAAATATCGACATTAATTTTGATATAGTTGAGTCAATCCCTAGCGTACATGTAAAATATTTTGTATAAAATTGTATTTACCAATATTCATGCAAATTATTAACAACGTGACTTTTTTCTTTGCGAAATTAAAAATAATATAAAAAAATTAATATACAGAATATAATTTAAATTTTAACCAAAATTACACGCGTCTTATTATTGACGACGTCTTAAGAATTTACCTGAGAAATGTGTATCAGGATCGCACGCACGCACGCACGCACGCACGCACGCACGCACGCACGCACGCAAACACGCACGCCCGCTCGCACGCACGCACGCACGCACTCACGCGCGCACGCACGCACACACGCACGCACGCACGCATGCACGCACGCACGCACGCACGCACGCACGCACGCACGCAGCACGTGAGCGCCCACCTGCCCGCCCGCCCGCACGTACGCACGCACGCACACGCACGCACGCACGCACGCACGCACGCGACGCGCACGCGCACGAATTAAATTGACGACGACGACTTTATTTAAAAAAATTATTTATTTATACAAAATTACAGAATGAGAGCTTATAATTACTTCCAAAACTAATCCGTCTTACAGTTAACTTAGCTTAGTATTTATATTAAAATATCTCTTACTAAGCAACCCGTGCTATGACGCACGGCCTAATCTTGTGAGTGCTTG